AAAATCGAATATACGTAACCCGCGGAAATTCAAAATTCGCGATACTTTTTGAACAGACCTCATATATATATATATATATATATATATATATATATATATATATATATATATATGTTCATAAAACCGCGGATGCGGATATTGCTTCGATGTGTCTCCTGAAAAATGGATTACAAAGAGAATTTAAAAAAAATGAATTATAAAAAGTGAATTATACAAAGCGATTATAGAATATACTCTATTTATAATTTATAATGAACTTATACCTGAGGAATGATCAGTATTCCTAACTCATTCCGCAACTGCAGCCTGACCATCGGCTCGTTGTCGACTATGATGTACTTGAAAAAAGAAAAGTAAATGTTAGAAACACAAATTCAATAAAAAATCTAGCATGCATAAAAGAAAAAACTATCTACTTCTTCAAAAGGATACAGGTAGTAAAGTATTCCCTAAAAATTGTCAACAAAATTTTCTCTAAAAATCACAAATTATCACTTGCTTCACTTAATCACAAAATTGTCACTCACTTCACTTAATCACGTACAAGTGCAAAAATATTCCACCATTAAAACTAAATGGTAGACTACTTTTGCACGTTTTATAAAAAATCATTTGCATAAGAAAAAAACGAACCTCGCGCAGACGAGACCTGACAAAAATTAACGCTGAGAAGCATTCTTCGCTGCGGCAAAGCTGTCCAGGATATTAGTTACAGGTGACCATTGTATATTAAACACTTTAGATTATAAGTGTTGACAGACTATATGTAGAACTCTAGGCGCGTTGAGAAAAGCGCTAGCAGGTGTTTATATAAACTAAGTGTGAGAGCGCGTCGAGGCATAGGATATAACGGATGGTAAATAAAGACAGTACATATATAGTGATGTGAATAAAAAAATCTTTATTTACATTTTATTACATTATTGTTTTTCATACGTATTAAAAACTAAATTTAATAACTCACAATTGACGAGTTGATGCTTGTCGAATATGTCGCTATCACGCGTTTTCGGATGCGATATTGGAGAATCGCATACGAGGTCTGGCTATTAAATAACGAGACTGCGCGCGCAGAAGGCGTCCTAGAGGGGTAGGGTGGGAAACGAATGCAGCGTTGGATAGCTGGAAGTGTCTACTATTCCAATACGAAAACACGTTTTTGTCGCAGTAGTAGTATTTTTTCTATAGAGGTTAGAAACGAACTTGTTTTTTTCTCGTGCCGATAACAATATGTGACGAAAAACACGAGCAACGGATCAATGTGAAATTTCTCGTTAAATTAAAAAAAACTCCGACTGAGTGCTATAAGTTGTTGAAAGAGGCCTATGGTGAGAATTCTCTATCTCGTGCGCGTGTTTTCGAATGGTATAAACGGTTTTCTGAAGGCCGAGAGAGCACCGAAGATGACCAACGTCCAGGTCGACCTGTCTCTGTTTCAACTCCGCAAACA